ATTGTAAAAAAACAATAAAAAATGAACAACAATATTAACGGGAAAGTAGTTGTCATCACCGGAGCCAGCAGCGGTATTGGTTTGGCAACCGCCATTCACCTGGCTTCCTTAGGTGCCACTGTCAGCCTGGCGGCAAGGCGTAGCGAAAAACTGGATCAGCTGGTTGCAGCGATTGAACAGAGCGGAGGCAGGGCTAAAGCATTCATTACCGATGTCAGTAAACGTGAAGAGGTAGATGCGCTCATCGCCAATACCATCGCCGCCTTTGGCAAGATTGATGTACTCTTTAATAATGCAGGCATCATGCCTGTTTCCCTGCTCGAAAACCGACACTACGAAGAATGGGAGCAAATGATCGACATCAATATAAAAGGGGTTTTGTATGGTATTGGTGCAGTTTTACCTCACTTCAAAACACAACTGAGTGGGCATTTTATCAATGTATCTTCGGTAGCCGGTCATACGGTATCTCCGTCCAGCTCGGTATATTCTGCCACAAAGTTTGCGGTAAGAGCCATTAGTGAAGGGCTTCGCCAGGAGGTAAAACCCTACAATATCCGCACGACCATCCTATCTCCCGGACTTACCCAAAGCGAGCTCACCAATACGATTACCGATGAACAGATCAAACCCATGATCAGCGCCATGATGCCATTAGCCATCCCTGCTGAAAGCATTGCCCAGGCAGTAGCATATGTAATCGGGCAACCTGCCGAAGTGGACGTTAATGAGATGATCATCAGGCCTACCGCGCAGCAATACTAATGTGCATGCTCCCATGTTATTAAGGTAAAAAAGGGTACTGATGATAACCGCCAAAGCCGCATCCAATCGGTAGATTTGTAACACCGCTTATCAATATGAAAAAAGCAGCACATACCCCTTATACTTTCCACTCCATTTCGGAGATGAATAAGGCATTAGGAATAGCACAACCGCTGCATCCCCTCATAGCGCTGAATGATTATAAAAACATCACCAACGACATTTCAGATATTGCCCGGGGCATGCTGATGGATTTTTATAAAATCTCCTACAAAAAATATTTCAGTGGTAAGATCAGGTACGGACAACATTATTATGATTTTAATGAAGGAGGCCTGTCTTTCATCTCTCCCAACCAACTAATTGCCGAAGATGAAAACAATGGCGAATGCGAAGGCTGGACACTGCTGATCCATCCCGACTTTTTCAACGGCTATCCATTGGCTAAAAACATTAAAAAGTATGGCTTCTTCTCCTACGCTGCCAATGAAGCGCTGCACCTGTCTGAACAGGAAAAGGAAACTATATTGGGGCTGTTCAAAAACATCGGGGATGAGTTAACACAACGCATGGACCACTTCAGCCAGGATGTGATCATCAGCCAGC